ATTCTACACCTAACTGGCTAACAGCTCTAGCTCCATCCGAGCTCATTTAAACCTAGAATGCATACCGGTGGTGTGGCAAGGATGCGCCAAGTCATCATGCATGCAGGCTGCCAGTCATCATGCATGCAGGCTGCCAGTTCACGTAGGGGTAGAGCATACAGTCACCAGTCTGCCACTCTCTGGCACCCTCCGTTTGTTATGGTGGGCCCTCCCGGAGAAAATCATAAGCTGTACACTATGGGTTTCGTGTACTCTTGTTAAACAGCTCTGTGGTTACCACGGCAACTGAGCTTGTACTTACAACACCCTGTAGTTGCCATGGTGATTTGGGCATGCGTGCACGATCGTCAGAAACTCCTCAGACTATAGTATTGCAGGAAGGTCAGTGTATATGCTATTAAAGATAGCTACTCTTATTCATAATAACTATGACAATCAAGAGTACTGACTGTGCGCTAACCATGCTTTATTACAATAATAACAAACATGCGAGAGTAATGTGATATGTGAAATGTACATGTCAAAACATCATAAGTTGAGGGAATGGAAAAGCGAGAAGCCTGAAGAAAAAATTGACTGTCACCACCAGGAATCGAACCAGAGACCTTGACTTGAGGCCAGCGATGCTGTGGACACTGAGCTATGGCGTAGCTCTGATCCCAGCAGAGACCGTAGCTCTCATCCCAGCAGAGACCGTTCAACATTTTCTTCAGACTTCGAAACTCACACTTCCTGTGACTCTGCACGGGGAGATGGCAATGGATCGGCACACGGCACGCTTACCTTTAACACAGTGAGGAAGTGGACTAAACCACTTTCCGTCCTCTCCGCATGTGATTGACGACACACCTTCAAAGGCATATCCCCTGTTGCACTGATACGAGACAACGCTGAAGATCTCGTTAGAGTGGGAATGCGGATGCCGTCCATTGCTGATGCTGGGTGGGAAAGGGCAGTGTGAGGCTGCACAAGCAACAGAATCAATGACGGAAAGTGAACGGATGGCATGCAAAATTGTCCTCCTGGCCGCGAGTGGCGCACACAGGCCTGTGTTTCCTCGCCGCTGTCAATAGAAGATTGACAATTTAGAATCCATTCAAAACAGGAATTTTACTGGAAAATCCAAAACAGGAAGAAAACTACCCAAAACGCAGGGTGGTGGAATAATATCAATGGTTGAGTGGGTGAGTGGGTGAGTGGTTGATTGGTTGAGTGCAAAGTGCCTGCAACACTGGCCATACTAACTCCGGCACAAGGTCGCAGCTTCGATTCCCAGTTTCAAGGAAGATTTTGATCTACAACTCCGGGAGACCCATGCAGGGTTGGGTAGCTGCCCTTCAGTTGGGGAGGTAATGGGTGACGATGGGTAATGGGTGACGATGGGTAATGGGTGACGATGGGTAATGGGTGACGGTGGGTAATGGGTGACGATGGGTAATGGGTGACGATGGGTAATGGGTGACGATGGGTAATGGGTGACGATGGGTAATGGGTGAGGATAGGTAATGGGTGACGATGGGTAATGGGTGAGGATAGGTAATGGGTGACGATGGGTAATGGGTGACGATGGGTAATGGGTGACGATGGGTAATGGGTGACGATGGGTAATGGGTGACGGGAGGTAATGCCGGGTGACGATGGGTAATGGGTGAGGATAGGTAATGGGTGAGGATAGGTAATGGGTGAGGATAGGTAATAGGTGAGGATAGGTAATGGGCGAGGATAGGTAATGGGTGACGATGGGTAATGGGTGACGATGGGTAATGGGTGACGATAGGTAATGGGTGACGATGGGTAATGGGTGACGATGGGTAATGGGTGACGATGGGTAATGGGTGACGATGGAAAGGAGATAAGCACAGGCCACTGGCACTTCCTTTTCCTATTGTCAGAATTAACACAAAGGGCTACCTAAATCCACCCCAATGATGCATTTAAGACCAGTAAAGTAGAGCCCACGCGTTCTCTTCCATTAACACTGCAATAATTCAACACATTTCACAATAATTATTCTAATGTTTCGGCAAATTGCCTTCATCAGGTTCATTGTGAAACTGCAGGAAGCCTCACCACTTTTACTGAATTCTACAATCATTATGTAATTTATGTTATTGATGGACTGCATGCCGTCCTACCGGTAGGACCCAAGAAATCACTCTGCAAAAGTGCTTTCGGTGGGGAATTTTTATGAAACGATTGTTCAGATGAGGTCTTTGCAAGGCAAAGTAATGGCACAACATGCAAGACTATGTCCAGTACATTTGTATGTGTGCAATTTTATCAATTGTCGAAATGGCCGCACATGCTCCTGTCGGAGCGCCAGCAGCTCTGGCCAAAATGAATTTTGACCATAGCACGTTGATCGTGGTGAGGACCTAATGTTTTTTATTATGGCAGGGGTGCAAAATTCCATACTCCGTTTCCATGGTTACCATGGGCTGTTGCCATAGAATTTCGTAATATGCCTTGTACGGTCACGTCTATAATTTGTGGACTCCTT